GATAGACGAAATTCAGTCTGTACTAGATAGTATTAGTACTTCGTTGTCTACCCTTCATTTAATGACGAGTCTCATACATACACTTTTCAGTTGTATCCGATATGGCAACACTGACACAGTGCGTTATTTCGCTTTATATCCTCAACCGAACACAATCCATATCGTCTATTACAATATTGGTGTGCAGTAGTCAAAAAGGAACTTATTATTTATGAAATACAGTCTAACTTGTATTAAACGGCCACTGTTGGGAAATTATGGAAGTGGCCTTTATAGAGAGGTGGCCTCTTAATTGAGGTTCCTTATTTTCGAACCCAAGTTACTGCAATTTGCATATTGACATTTGAATACAGTTTAATAACAAGATATAAAACGTCATCTGTTATTATTTATTATAATGTTAGCTTGTAGTTTAAGACAAATGATATCTCCACAGCTAGTAAAATGTTCGCTTAACCATTGAATGAAATATAGACAGTTCCGCTTTCTCCTGTATCCCTTAGCGACCTGAACGTGCATTGTGTGGTGAATGAGACGTAGGTTTTCATTACCTGTTTCTACTTTGTACGACTATTAACTCCTTGACCTTTGCAAAAAGATATTTCTTATTGGTCGCAGTGGTGCATGCTGGGAAGTAACTTCTGTTTGGTAAAGCAAGACGCGCAGTTTACGACTACAAACCATAATGCACACAGAAATGATAACTGATGTGTTTCGCAAAGACTGACACGCGCAAGTCACTTTAAATTATCATGAGCTGTCGAACATCGGGATGCCCTTGTTTATTTTCCCTTTTTTAAAAAAAAGTACAGCTACATCAAGGTGTTTTTGTTTCTGTGTCCTATAACACTCGCCGTGTCTACCTGGTGTGTCAGTTTCCAAGCGTTATGCCCGGAATACTTACATCTGTGTGTGATTATTATATACATACGATGGTATATGAAGAAGTATACTTATATATAAGTACATATACGTGTTACATAATGAAGTATACATTTCGTACAGGTGGTTGCTTCCGCCAAAGCAACACAGAGTACGATAGTCAGTGAAAATAAGTATCATTAAAATGGACTGAAAACAATCGCTAAGCAAATAATACATTTTGAAAAATAATTTGTTATTTAGATATAAGTTAAAAACTTCTTAAAACTATTTCTTCTGTCTGTATTCTGGTCAATTATTTCCGAAGCCCCTGTGGCTTATACAGGAAGTGTTCGTATATTGAAACAAAAGAAGTGATTACATAGAAGTACATACATATATATAAATAGTCAGATTTCCAACAAGACTGAGTATGTGTGCCATAAAGTTGTACCGAGTCCGTTTTTTTTAGTATACACGATCGGTTAAACAACGAGATGTAACACGTTTTGTATAAATAATTGATTGATTTAGGAAAACAGAGCCACATTCTTCAATAATTACTACTTCTGTTTGTCGTTTTAGATATAATCAGCGACCACAGTAGTGCCGGTAAATTTAAACATAAATATAAACTTTATTTATTTTACAACAATTGCGAAACAAGTTGTGTAAGGCGAGTGCGTAACCAATGCGCCACCCTACCACCCACCGGTAATTTGACACAGGCTTGCTAGTCGCTGTGTCAACCCGTACAGGTTTGTGGTCTATCTTGGCTCAAATGTAGGTAACAAAGAACTCGGATATATAACAACGATATAACTATCGGGTAGATCTGTTTTGTATACATCAAAGGCGTTTGCCGTGCCGAATATTTGACGTGAATTACTAAGAAAGATAAACCATTCATACTGTTTTGTCAGACACTGCCGTGGTATATGTTTTGAAAACAATATGCAGATCCAAAACATTTCAATTAAAACACTTAACTTTTATATAATGAAATTGACTCTTAACTCACTCAAAACTAGAGAAAGAGCTGAGGATAAAAAATTCATTCCGTGAGATTTTTTTTAAAAATGTATCTATTAAAATGCATTAATGTTTACTTGTTTCTTCGTTGTGTTTGAAATCTTTCAACAAAGTTGTAAAACATACTCATTGTCTAGCGTGTAGCTCTCGCGGCAGGTAGAGATGTCTCCTCTTACATATCTTTTTAAAAAAAAAAACCACTTGCTTGACTGTTCCTATACATAGATCCTACACCACCCGCTGTGAGAAGATTGTAGACTGGATTTGTGTAATCTTGACATGAATCAGAGAGGTCAAAGGTCAGCTTCAGTAAAGGTCAGTCTTCAGTCGTACAGATAAAAGACAACTGAATTATTAGCAAGATTATAATATTTCAATCAACATCATCAGTTAAATATTGACAGTACCTGTTGTATATTTTGTACACGGGGACCTGGCACAATTTACTAATCAAATGGTCCATTTTAATGTTATATGAAAGTGTAAGGTCAAAGGGATTGAAAAATGATTCGAATCCCTGTTTCTGACGCTTAATAGTACATTTGTACAGGGGGCACAATGCAGGCCCTGTTCATTCAGGTATTACTTCACACACGATTACACACAGACACCAAGTAAGTACAGACAGGTCGCTGTAGTAGTTAACTATGGTGAACCGTGATTTCAATAGATCATCAACAGACCAAGTTTGAATAATTTATCTCCTCTGATGAAGAATTTCCATAAAAGGGAAATCAGAGAGTAAAATTATTTTTCAGAATATAAAGAAAAACAGTTTTAAAAGTACAGTAAGTTTTTTGTGAATAAAATTAAATTCAAATGATTTTTTTAAGACTGTGGAAGCGTGTGTACGTACATTACATCAAATAACATGACGCCTTGACAAGAAGTTTAAATGATGTTTAAATGACGTTAAGAATACTTATCCTTTTATTAATGCAAACAACTGACGAAATACGTGGTATATGTACGCGCCATTACTTATATAGTAAGCATGTTTGAGGATATTTGAGAACATTCTATTCCATATTTCACGTAATTTCGGTGACGTCATCAAAGGTTGTCTAATAGTCAAGATAATTACATCGTATCTATGTGTTATTCTTTTCAAGATTTTAGATTGTATACTGCTAGTAAAAATTCTTTTCATTGTCTGCAGAACACAACGACCGACGTCACAACAAGAGAATACCGAACAATGAGTGGAACAAAAATTTTACTCAATATTGTCAATTATTGTCCAATTTCGTGATAACAACTACAGAGGACCTTTGTGAAAGAAAACATCGAAGTTGGTTTTATTTGAAGAGACTGCATGATCTAGGAGAAAGAAATACGGCTTGATAGTTTTTTTGGAAAACTATTCAAATAAGACTTCATCTTTCCTGAAATGACTTTATTGTACTCAATGGCGTTAAAAGTAGTGAAGTTGCTTGGAAAATACTGTGTTTGGAACGGCACTAATGGTTCATATTGCACTTCCGGTAAATCTGGCGAAAAAACAGGAAGTAGCACGTGCGCAATAACCATAACGTCACAACAAGGTTTATTTTTTTACATAAAAAGTCAGACAGGAAATTTAGACTGGTCTTGTCATTATCACTGTACCTCGACCGACCTGGACATCTGTACGAGAAGATGGCTGACGTGATTGGAAAGTTTCATTCTCATTCCGTATGGAATGACCGCCATTTCAATAATAATAATCAAAATTGAAAACATCTCGATGTTAAATGTAATTTTCATATTCCTCGTCTCGAACTTGTATCAACCATCGAGGGTTAATAATAGGTAGTTCATCAAGATTCCTAAATCGTTTAATATCATCCAGGTTTGACATAAAACGAGTATTCCTTAGTATTGAAAGAATAGACTTTGTTTAACGGTTCCCGTGTATCTGTGTCAAAGAATACGTGTACACCAGACAGAACACAGAGACATGATAGAAATTAGACATTGGTACAATTGATTATCAAAACAATTCTCCCTTGACCATATCATATATACACTTGACCATATTGACATAACACTTGACCATTTACTACCGAACTCTCTTCATCTCGTGCATTGTTTACCCTTCAACCGCTCTGAACAACTTGTTAAGTACCTATGTATAATTTAAAACTCGTTATTCGGGTTTTCCGATTTGTACACAGTACTACTGCTGAATGAACGTACCCAGTAACGGGTCAAATGCCAAGGTATTGTTGATGAATAGCAATTTAAACTCTTTATAAATCCCCTCAGGGCGTACTACGTTTATGTGCTCTTACGTCATTCTTCAGTTAAACTGATTTAGAATGGTAAAGCTACGACGTCAGATTTCCTACAGCGGCGAAACACGACAATGTCAGTGTAAAGGTGTAATTTCTTTGAATTACACGTATTTTGCCTTGGTTTGAAGACACTATTTTTACTGTTCGTCTTGTCGTAACTTTTTACATAATACGTTTGTGTGTCTGAAGGCGAGAGGTAACACAGTTCGAGTTTGTCCAATACACGTGTATTTTTGGAGTAGATATTAAGGAATGAAAGGCAACCGAGAATTATATATGCAATCTTGGCTACGAGTGTAGGAAAACCTGCAACAAGAACATCTTCGCGACATTTTCTTAATATCAGTCAGTTATTTTGGCGAGTGTATCTATTTATAGACGAACGAAACTGACTCTTTATTTTTTTTCCATAACATATTTCGGCTTGAAGATATCTTGTTTAGCGATAACGTGAACAATTAATCCCATTTGTCATCATCCCAGCATTGCATAGACCTCTCTTGTTTTTCTGTATATTTGCACCGTCTTTCAAACTTGACCGCCCTCTGTCAAGACACCTGTCGTGTGTCTAACGCTACAAGTAGGCATACTAGATCTCAAAAAAACCTTTGTATTTAACAACTCCTTACAGTGAACATTATATACTCCATTCAAACGATTCACATGATTTATCAGCGTTGTCTTGTCCTACAGTTGCAATAAAATACAACCTTCATGTGTCATTATTACCTAATAAAATCTCAACAAAGCGATCATTAATATCTAATAAAACCTCAATATAGCGACCACCTGTCTATAATGACAAAAATCTAAAGTGATATCAGTACTTACTTGATTTACAGCTTAATCCAACACATTTACATTCTGGGGTCGTATCTCTGCTTATACACAAACAATCTCCACATGGATTTCTTGTTTCACAAACTTCCGGAACTCCATAAGATTGCCCGACTTTTGGTTCTACAACTCCGCGAACCAAAGAACACGAACAATTTCCGTAAATCACATTTCGGAATGAACCGCGGAGATTTTCCACAAACATAACTGATGGTAACGCGAGATTCCTCAGATTCGTGTCGAAGTGATGTTGAGGCATTCCTCCAAAATACACCCCGCTATTGTTCTTGATTTCTCCAAAATTGAAATCTGAGCCATAGGAAAGTCTAGTTTGGGTTTGGTCTGTCATATCATCAATGGTAAGGCTAGTCTCCATTCTCTTGCGCTGGATTAACACTTTGTGCCAGTTATAGTCTGCTAGATTTTCTCCTATAAGAAATTCGACACTTCCATCACGACCATCGACAATATTAAGTCGCATTCTTAAAACACCATCTACTAGGACGAGCTCGAAAAAATCATATGTCCCCGCATCATCCGTGTACATCAAAAGACCATTATCTTGCCGAGTCTTGAACTCAAAACTGATCGAAGCATTTGTGCATGCATTCCATTTCGGATATCTTCCGTAAGAGCCAGTTCCTCCGTTCAAATAAATTCCATTTGTATCTGTACAATATAATAGGGACAATAGGAAAATAAATAGTAATTTTGTGTAGTTCATAGACACGGCTAGACTAGACAGCCCCATGCCTGCCTAAAATGATAGTAGAAGCACCGTTTCACGTGAATTTGTGCTGCCGTCCGGTCATACCCTGGTAGTAACACTGATATTAGATATGCCTCAGGCCCCTACACATATAAATAGAACCAGTGTGTCCAGTTGCCATTCCTGATGTAACGTATCCCACCATGGGCTGACAAACACCACAGGGGCACTTATTTCTTAAGCGTAGTCACATATGTGGGAGAGCCTACTCACCGACTCCACCGGTGTAGGTAGCTGTGTATTATGTACCTTCTGCACCAAGAGTGCTAATATTCCACGGCTTGCACAGCACTCGAAGTGTTGTGTTCCTCTCCTGCACATATATACATGTACGGGATTTTACCGGGTCTATTTCTGAATCTAGTCATTCATCTCAAGCTTAAGAGGAAATGTCAACGTAAGCTGATAAGCTTAGGGAGTCACTTTCTCCTGTTGTCGAACAGAAAAAATCCAGGCGAATGTTTCTAATTTAGAAGGAACTCGTGGACAACAACATTTAAATGTTTAGTAGTCCCCCTTTCGGACAAAACGTTGTTTAAAATCCTAGTCCCCGCGACTCAACACTTTTAGGTAGAATACCTCCAAACAGGGTTTAAGTAAACAAAAACATTACACACCTGAAAAAAACCCGATCAAACGCCTCTCACCTGAGATTTTTAAAACTTTAAGGATAGGTTACAATCCTGCCTATGATTAATCGTTTGACTTTCACTTCCCACTGCCCACAGCCGCGACACATCGATACACATGAATGACGATTAAAAACTTATTAACGTGCATATATAAGCGACAGGTATAGTTTGTAGCTTGCACCGTTTATTCGAGACTGGTTTGAACCGATACAGACAATTTAAAGGTTTGGTCATGCTATGATAACGCCGTGTTCGTTAGAGCGTAACGGCGCCGGAGTTACTGCTACCTATATAACAGTTTGTACATGCAGATATGAAACAGGCTTTGTAATCACAACTTTTATTTAGTAAAGTAACTCGTGTCATCTTTTTCTGTCATATTTGATATAAACTTATATATAGTGAACACATGTCTACAATAGGTCCATTATAAGTGTATAAACTAAATTAAAACTTTATTTATTTTACAACAATTGCGAAACAAGTTAATTCAACTTATCACTCTTGTTGGCCCAGATGTAAGCGCGCGAGGGGTCTCATTGGTGGGAGGAAACCGGAGTACCCGGGGAAAACCCACATGGTCGGGCAGGTTACCCTTACCTTTTCACGTCCGTTCCAGGTTTCGAACCCCGATGGCAAGGTGAAAGGCGAGTGCTTACAACTGCGCCACGCCTCTCTGGCCTTGATGGTTTTATTATTCTGAAAACATCACAGCGCATATTTCTTTTCAGTTTGAAAATTTCGTATTCTAAGTTATCTCATTTCTTCCCTAACTCTTGTGTGAGAGAGGAGGGGGTTATCGAGCCACTTTGACTTGTATCTAATATCACGTGTTCGCTTACCTATATACATATGTATCCAGTATGTTTTGTACCTGTTTTTTGTCAGGTAGGTATAGATTTATAGACACCGCAAGCTATGTCGAGATAACATTCTCATATAACAACGTTCACCATCGCGCATATCATTAGTACAATACATCATAATGGGGTATGAAAAAATCAACAGGATTTAAAAACCGTATCAGATCTGAGACAGAAAACATCTCCATCGTATTAACAGGGCTTTTAACACAGTGTTCGAGTCTAATAATATTTATGTGATATATGTATATAAGACTTCCCTCCGTATCAGTCCGGGTCAGATGGCCTTGGCTAACACTCAATCAGAGTGAGTATTGTATGAGATTTTAATTTAGAAGAAATTTTATCAATGTGTATCTCTGTAAATAGTGGATTTACTGTGTAAATAAAAATGCATTTAATAATTCTAGGAAAATTTCATCTGCTGATCATATCATTAATTAAATCTGTTTATTATCATGAATTTCATCTACATATTATCATGAATACTTTTTCGGTTCAAAATGATGAACATTATATACAGGTAAGAAAAACAATGAAACACATTTTCTAAACATATTTAGTGATTTTTTTAAAAGTTACATGGTACCATTTGTCATTTCTAAGAATTTATTGTCATAACATTTATGTGGTATAATCTTACGACACAATTAGAAACTGAACGTCTATAATATTATATAAATTCAATCCGCTATCTTCGGGACTTTTCGACAAAAGTAAAAAAAAGTTACCGACTGTTGGCGGAAAAACAGTAACGAGAAGACAAGTTAAAGGATTAACCTGTTAGAAATCTATGGACATCAGTTGATATAAAAAGGCGTTATATTTTCAATGATCGTAATTCATCACAATATGTTTTAAGAAAACGTCAAAATATTTTTATGTCAATACAGTATTTGGTTATTTGTTTACTGGGCCTGGAATACCTAGGAATATTTTGAGGCAGGGTCTCTGTGTGAAGTTGTTTACCACCTCACTGAACAACACACGGGAGACTCGTTGCATGCCACCAAGAGGAAGGAAGTAAGTGCCTTGCCTGTGGACACAGCCAGGATAACACAGACTGGTCCGTCTCTATGATTTCTTTGACAAGACATTTTAACCCATATGTGAATAATAGATCTTGAACTATTCACAATTTCAGTTATAAATTCTTTGCCTGTAATTAGTAAAAATGCGTGAATCAATTATCTCCCCTTGGTGCTGTGTAACCTCCAGACAGCATGTGCGTGGAATACATCTAATCCATAAATGCAATCTGAATACCAGTTAGATGAATCTTCTCACAGAGAGCGTGATATCGTTCATGCTAACTTATTGCTCCAATCCCTTTCTGAAGCCACTAGAAAATGCTGAGAGTTCCGTGTGGATTACATTCCATAGCGGATGACTACTAAATGGTATTCATACGCAATAATAACATTTCAGCTTGGAAAACAAATTGAATCACCTAAAGAGAACAAATCCAGAGGCACAGACACAAGAATGAGGGAAGTTTCTATGAAGGATGAAGTTACGTCGTATTCATAACCATTTGTTATTATCTTTCGTGCTAACTGTTTTGTCATTGTGCATTCTAAAGTGTATTAAACTATTTAATTTAACATTGAATTTGTTATACTTTTCAAGAAATGTCATAGAGACTAACTGAAGCAAAAAGCAGAAAAGTGTCCAAATAATTATTATCAAAAAGCCTAAAAGTCAATGAAATTATTAATAAGCCTTCTTAATTAATATAAAGATTCTCGTGAAATCCTAATAGACCAGCTATTGACTATATCTTCGTTCCGTCTTTCTTTCTTTCGTTTTGTTTGCGTAGCTGAGTTTTTTTCAAATTCAAAAATCTTCTTCTACACGATGTAAATGACGCTGACTGCATGTGAGACATTTCATGACTACAAGATACAGCTGTAAGTATGTTAGTAATTGCTGTTACTTACTAGTCTGGTACAGAGGCTGGGAATAATTATCTACTGTAGCACGTGCCAGTGTTACTAAGACCAGCGGCGCGTGAGGGCGGCTCTGTAATGACTTATTACTTGCCTAATTCTCGTTATCATATATAAGTACAAACCGTTATGATTAAAACATACAGGATTGATGGACACAAGCTTGTCATAATTTACATGTGTTATCTCGGATTTGTGAATATCTGTCTCTCGACACTCTAATCAGCCAAGGTTCATGGTTCATGGTTCAATATCCTTTTACAAACAATACATCGATATGTTTGATTCTTTCTTTGTAAAGTTATTCCCTTGTGAAGGAATCCTTTTACAAACAATACATCGATATGTTTGTCAATCAGATGTCAGATAATTATGCTACAAATTATCCAGAATACATCACATTCCCTTGACCAATTATCCTGTGCCTTCTTTTGTGGTCCTTTCCAACTACGCCTCTACATTGTGTTCCTGTGAAGACATACCCGTCGTCTCTAATTTGTAATTCTTATCATCTACCTGCTACCTTCTATATTGTGACCCCGTTACAATATTACCCCTTGTCCCTACCTTGAACTTCTTGTCATCTACCTATCTGTACTCTCTACCACTTATCTATACTCTCTGCCCCTTACCTGTACTCTCTACCCCTTATACTCTCTACCCCTTATCTATACTCTCTGTCCCTTACCTGTACTCTCTACCCCTTTACATGTACTCTCTACCCCTTACCTGTACTCTCTACCCCTTATACTCTCTACCCCTTATCTATACTCTCTGTCCCTTACCTGTACTCTCTACCCCTTTACATGTACTCTCTACCCCTTACCTGTACTCTCTACCCCTTATACTCTCTACCCCTTATCTATACTCTCTGTCCCTTACCTGTACTCTCTACCCCTTTACATGTACTCTCTACCCCTTATCTGTACTCTCTACACCTTTACATGTACCCTCTACCACTTACCTGTACTTTCTACCCCTTACCTGTACTCTCCACCCACTTATCTGTACTCTCTACCCCTTACCTGTACTCTCTACCCCTTACCTGTACTCTCTACACCTTACATGTACTCTCTCCCTCTTACCTATTCTCTACCCCCTTTCCTCCGACCCTGTCATGCGAAATGTTGTTCGGGAAAGAACTTACCGTCAGATTTATGTTTTGAAAAATGAAATTTACTTCGTAATATTTCTCCGGTTTTGAGAATTACAATTTCAGAAGTAAGACATTATTTTATTATGCCGGTTCCGTTCTTACTAAACTACGATATTTCTCGAGCAGAAATAATTGGAATGCGATGTACCCATCGAGTCTCCTTTAATCACTAATTATACGGCAACATATGTTTTCATGAGTCATTATCTACCGTTTGACATTTAAAAGAAACATCTAAATAAATAAATAAATAAATAAGAATATGAAACGCCGACATGTCAACAGCATCTTAATTAAAACTTTAAATATAGACTAAACATGGAGACAAATATGGGAGTAGTAACGTCAGAGGCATGCTGTCTTATATTGATGTATCTACTTAACCATCCTCTAGTTATATTAAATTGTAGCATTGATAATGCATTTTAATATG